CTTCGTCAGCAAATCATAAAAGAAATACAACTTGATATACCCTAAAAAGTGTAGGCTTCTTCATAAACTATTATATAAAAATTGGAAGAAGACTACACTTTCCTAGGTATGTATTCGGGTATAGTATAGCCTTCTGCATAATCTATTATATAAAAATTATGGCAGAAGGTTACACTTTTCTAGACATGTACTCGGGTATGATATAAATAGGTTTACTATGATAATACATATTATATTTCTAACCTCAGACGCGAAATTGGCATACATATAAAAGTGAAGGCTTCTCTGTAATCATTGTATAAAATATTGGGAGAAACCTTCATCTTTCTAGACATGTACTCGGATATGATATAAATAAGCTAGTTAAGATAATATATATTGCACCTCTAACCTCAAACACAAAATTGATATACATGTATCAGCAACAAATAGGCAATAGTTGGGTTATAAAATGGTATCAGCTTCGATTTTTCAAATTGTATACCTCAAAATCACTTTATCCTGGTAATCAAATAGATCAGACATGATCTCTTGAAGTTACATAAATTGAACTTTTTTACATGTAGTACTCGCATGAATATTACCATGCCCGATATTTACTCTATATTCGATTAAGATGAAATATGATAGAAATACTTACAAAAAATAAATATACTTTATAAGATGAATAAGATAAACATTATGTTTACTCATTTTGTAATAATGGTTTAACAACATTTCGTAAAATTATGTATTAAATTTTGCATGACAAGCTATTATTGAAAATAGAAGTAGCAAATTAACCGCGCTATCTATCATCTTTTTTTACACCATTTCAGCCCTTAGAAAGGCAACCAAATAGACACAAAGGGAAAGCACTTTAATATAGAATCTAGCATCCAATCAGACACAAGAGGCCAGCATCTTCAACATAAAACCAGATATTCAAACAGCTACAGAGGATCAATAGCCTATTATAGAATTTAGTATGTAAACGACTCAAAAACAAGAAAAAAGCGTGATATTTCAATTATATGTGTATGATAATTAGATTATATTGTGGTAATAAAAATATATTAGTATAAAAAACACGAATACCAAGAAAGACTTAAAAAGATAGTTAAAATGAAAAGTGATATAAGAAAAAAAATAAATATTAGATTATATGTGATATTCAGATTGTATTATTTAGATTATATGTGGTAATTAGATCATATCATTTAGATCATATGTGGTATTTAGATTATATGTGATATTTAGATTATATGCGATATTATAATCTAGGTTAAGTGGGATATCACATATAATATAATTATATTATATGTGATACCCTACTCATATAAATGTTTAAGATAAGTATTTATAGCAAAATAATTTTTAATTAGTTATATATATTCACATTTAAAGTTTTAATATCAAGTTTATTATTAAAAGGATTTTTGAGCAAAAGTTTCATAATCTTTATGTAATTTACTTTTTAAATTTTTAAAAAGATTTTATCCTATATATCTAAGTCAATACAAATATCTTATTTGAAAATAAGTTTGAATAATAGTAATATCTATTATAAGATCAGTATCTGTAAGCATTACTGAAAGATAAATTCCTAATGTTTAAAGATTAACTCTTAAATTCTATGTATATAATTCTAAGGTTTTATTATTAAAGAATATTTGAGCAATCTGTTATGAATTAAAATTATTATTAATAATTATAAAAATAAAAAATGAAAGATTATAAATTCTAGTTTTTATAGTATTATTTATATAATAATAGATGAATATATAATTCAACTTGCAATAATTCTATCTGTAATAAATATGTAAGAGTTTATATTATTAGATTTATTTGATATTCTACAACTCATTCTAAATTATTAATTTTTTTTAATAAAAAATCAAGAAGGTTAAATGAATCATTTTTTATTAATACTTTTTATATCAAAATATGTAGATTGCAATAAATCTTTTTAATAATGAAATATTGGTACTTATTTATAAGCATTTTATATTATTTAGTAACTTTAAGATTATTTTCAAATGTTCAAAAATGAATATCAGATAACATCAGTTAGATTTTGAAACTGAAGTAAAAATTTGACTGTTTGTAAATCAAGAATATAATCTCTATGTTCATTAATAAATATTATCACTTTATAAAGCCCTTCTTTTTTTTTATTAATATTAATATACTATAAGCAATTAACTTACAAAAAAGTTTATTTTATTGTATCATCATCTCCATTTTTTTAAACGTCTTATTCTATATCTAAATCACTTTTTCATATAATAATTATTAAAAAAAAGTATGATTTCTTATCATAATATAAAATGTTTGCCAATATAAAGATCATTTGATTCATTTTCATCAGTTTCTAACTAATCATCACCATCTTCTACTTCAATTTCATTAAAATTTTCTTTAATATGACTTTATACATATTTTATTAGATTGATTTTATTAAAAATGACTATATCGCTCATGTTTTATTTTTTAAATATTTTTGTAAAATCAAAAGGAAAAAAGAAAAAAATTTGATCAGTAATTTATTTAATAAACTTTTATCAATATTTATTTATAACTTTAATTATATTATACAATTTATGTGATTATTATTAAGAAGCATAAAATGCATAAGGGTATCATTTAAATTTTCCTTTAATAATATATCAATCTTTAATTATAATAATTGAAATAAAAAAAATAATATTGCTTTAAATTTTAATATTAATTTTTATTTAAATACTTAATACTTAAATAATTATTATTTTCTTATTATTAATAGGTTTTCTATTATTATATTTACTATAGATTATATTCTTATCTTTTGTAATTATAAAGTAATAATAAAATTTTTTAAATTACTTTCTTATTTATATTGGTTAAATTATAAAAGCTAACTTAATAATAAAACTTTTATATTACTATTGAAATAGAAAATTTTTTTTGTTTTTATATCTTAAATAAAAATATCATAAATCTTAAAAAAAAGTAAAAAAATACTTTATATTAAATTATGAATTATTTTGAAATATGGGAGTGTTTCTAGGAAAATCAGGTTCTGAGAAATTTTTGACTAAAATAAAGAGCTTAATACATTTTAATCTAATAACATCAAAAACTAAAATGCAATAAAAATTTAAATTTTGCTAAAAAATTCCCAGAACCTGATTTTCCTAGCAATTAACCCATATATCAAAAGAATATAAATAATAAAAGATAATTAAATTTAAAATATATAAAACTATAATTTGTTTTAATAATTAAAAAGCTAAAATATAAAATTAAATTATAAAAATTTAATTTAATTATGATACTAAAATATTAAAAAATCTGATAAAGTAAATAGATTATATAATTTTTAAAAATTAATAATATAGTTATCTTTCTAAAATAGTAATAATAAATAAAGTTTTTAATTTTATCAAAAATATTTTATATATTTATTATATTAATATTTAGTAAAAGATTATTAATAATGCAAATAATATAATAATATATTTTATTTACTTTTTGTCTAAAAAAAAAAAATATTTTACAAGAAGTATTTTTTTTAAAAGATAAAAGTAATATGATTTTATAGTATGGTTTTTTTTATACTTGTATAAAATTAAAAACTTAAAATCCCATTTGAAACCATATAAAGGTTTAGTGTGATTTCAAAATTTTAATCTAATTCTTAAAAGTAAATTTGATACTAATTGAATAACCACCAGAAGTTGGAGGGTAGATAGAAAACCGGTACGGTACGATTCTTTGCTCATAAATAAATCATAGGCATGAATTTAGTTCACAACAAACTATTTTTTTTATTTTGTATTTGTTTTTATATTGGGCTAACGTTAAGTTTTCTGGAGATGAATGTAGCTTCTGCATTTTTCTAATTTCTCTTAAAAACTAATCTTTTTGTGTCGGCTGCACTATGCCGATCATAACATTTCTTTACATCCAAAAAATGTAGAACATCATAAAATATTTCGCAAAAGATTACATTGGTTTGCTGAACACTTTTCATCAAATAAGCAAGCAATTTAATTTAAAATTTAATACAGATTGATAATTATATTGCATAAAGACTTTAATTAAGATTAAAAACAAAAAAAAAAATCTTCAATATTAAAAAATAAATCTAATCGAATAAATTATTTCTTTTTTCTAACATTAGCATTTTTTTTTTTTTTTTTGGTTTTACAAAGTTTTAAATTAGTAAAATAAAATATTAAATACAGTATACCTTTTTATATTTCCAATAGAAAATTGCCCAAAATTAGTAATAATGATAGAATTGCTTATAGTCTAATCTCGATTTAGCGAAATCGTTGATCTGGAATAAAGTTCGGTACAGGGTATCACGACCTCTTCATTACTTGGGCTTGTGAAAAATCGCCGGTTTATCGGAATTACTATACCAATTCTGGGAAGCATCTTATTTAAAAAAAATCCTTCAAAAAACTTTATCATAGAATTGCTTTTTCTTTTTATCCAAATTCATTCTCCTATCAGTTTTGATCTTTGCGAATTCTATACTCCGAAATTGTAACCATTTAAACCATTTAAAAAAAAATTATGTACCTCGTGGTGTGTTATAGCATTTAGTTACACAATGTCTACGAGCAAAGTTCAATCTTCAAACGTATACATATAAACATATATGCTATCTATCAGATTTCTTCATTAAAAATAATGGTTGAATTACTTATCTCCATATCTTTGGTATTTTTCCTTCCCTATCAGTATAATATGCACATGAAAGAGCATATGATCACTATTATAAATTTTATTCGGAGAATATATTAAATATAGAAAAAAGGATCGAACACAAATCGTGGACAATATATTGGGTTAGTGATTTTTAAAAGTTCTTATCTGCCATTTGATACTTAATGATGTTTATTAATACATTTCTCATTAGATAAGAACATATATATAATACCTTCATTCACCTTGTAAACTAAAAAAAAAAAGTAAACCCTTTTTTCTTTTTTTTTTGCAAACTCTTTTATTTCAAAAAAAAAAAAAAAATGCCTTCATTTGTCGAAATTAATAATTCAAAATTTCATTTCTCTAGACTTGATATTATAAAAGGTGTTGAGCAACTAGACAAGAAATTCGTTGGTAATTATTAATCATGTATCTCTACTATGATAAAGTAATTTTCAATTTTCCAAAATTTTTTTTTTTTTTCTTTTTTTTTTTATAAAAAAATTTAGATTTGGCAAGTTCTAATTTGGGAGGAAAGATAATTGAATGCAGCGATGAATTTTTTGCTGAAGCATCCAATTTACTTAAACCCCACAAACCTGTCAGAAAACCTGGAAAATATACCGGTAAACAAAAAGAACCGTTACACACAATTTTGTCTTAATATATATGTCTTTTTTTTATTGATTTCCAATTGTATTTAAATCAAGAACGTGGATCATGGATGGACGGATGGGAGTCTAAACGACACAACCCCTTTCACGATTGGTAAGAACCGGTTTATTTAATCAACTTCTAATTTCAAAAATTTTGTCCCCAAATCAAAAAGTAATTTGTATTATTTGTCACAGGGTCGTGATTAAGTTGGGTTTCGAAGGGCATATAACAGGATTTGATATCGACACTTCGTATTTTGAAGGAAATCAAGCTCCAATGGCCGATGTTGAAGCTTGTTTTTCTCCCAATCATGATTATGATAATAACACTAACGTAAGTTAAATTTTTTATTATAAAAAAATATATATATATATATATATTTATTTCTTTCTTTCTTTTATTTCTTTTTAGTGGCATAAAATTTTGCCTAAAGTTGATTTAGGCCCAAATTCTCAACATTTTTTTGAGATACAAAAAACTACCATGAAATTTACCCACGTTAGATTAAATATTTATCCCGACGGTGGTGTCGCACGATTTAGAGTATACGGAATTGTAAGCGCAAGATGGCCAAAAGATCACTCAACACCAGTAGACTTGGCCTACGCGGGTAACGAAGGTCGAATCATTTCTTATAGTGATCAACATTACGGTAAATCGGATAATATTTTATTGCCAGGTCGTGGAAAAGACATGAGTGACGGATGGGAAACACGACGTTCTCGTCAACCTAATCATAATGATTGGATAATAATCAAATTGGGATGTCCAGGTTATTTGGAAAAAGCTGAAGTGGATACAGCATTCTTTAAAGGGAATTATCCCGATAGAGTTTTACTTGAAGGTTGTTTTTGTAATAACGATGTGTTGTTAGAGGATGGTGGTTCAAATGTGGATTGGGATATTATTTTAGAAAAAAGCAAACTTGGACCTCATAAGCAACATTATTTTGACTTGAAGAAGAAATATAAAAAATTTTCGCACGTTAAAATGACGATATTTCCTGGTAAGTTTAGAGATGCTACGTGTTTTTTTTCCTTCCTAAATCATATATAAAATTTTTAACATTTTCTAGATGGTGGAGTTAAGCGATTGAGAATTATTGGGAGGAGAGAACTAACTGACAAAGTGGATGATAATTTTGTAAAAAGCGAGTTATCCGAGATGACTCATTCATCAGTTGTACATATCGTTGCCACCCCATTAACTTATGCCTCCTTTTCACCATACGGAAATATAATTCAATCATTTCCCGAACAAACTTCTACTCAAAATTCCTTTTCAATAACTCATGGTATTAAAGTAACGCCTGCTAATCAAGGGACCGCACGTAAATACAATCATGTTGCTTCCGTCATAAATTATCGTCAATCAAATATTCTACTTAACAAAGATCAATCGAGTGATAAAACGCGTGTAATTGCTAAAGCTGTGCCTAATTTAAGTTTATATAAATGTTCGCCTGTAAAATCGCTTCCGTTTACTGTACGTTTATTGGAAAGGCATCCCTATTCGTCGCAAACGTTTTTACCCTTGAGTGATGGTAAAGTTAAAGGATATTTGGTTGTGGTATGTTTAAATAATGACGTTGGTGAACCAGATTTGAGCACCCTTAAAGCATTTATCGCGTCAAGCATCCAAGGAATTAATTATCATCCCGGTATTTGGCATCATCCTATGATTGCTTTAGAAAAAGTAAGCTTCCTTTTTTTTATTCATTTTTCAGAGATCGAATTTGTTTGAATTTGTTGAATAATTATGTGTGTATAAAATATTTATTTATTCACTCCTAGACTACGGAATTTGCATGTTTAACGCATGAATCAGGAATTGCCAATGAAGATTGTGAAGAAATTGAATTTGAGGAAAAAGATTTTGTCGTAGTTAATGTTCCAGGATTTCACTAATAAAAATTTATTTAGGTTTTTTGAGGATTTTATGTAATATAATATTCTTTTTTTTTTAAAACGTTCATTTATATAAATAAGCTTTCGTCAATTGTAGTAGTCACAGGTTACTTGTATTTTCATATAATTAAAATTTCTAATGTTTTTGATCAAATAACATGTTCCGAAAATTTCGCTAAATGATGTGCAAGAAGAATGAAAATGAATTAAAATTTTGATAAATGTTATATCATTCGAAAATATTAAGCAGTTCGCAGTAATTAGAATACGTGAGACCTCATGTATCACGTAATTTCGTTCACAAAAAATTTTTGACGTATTAAATTTCTCTCTATAAACTCGGGACAATTTAAAATGCTTTGGTTTGTTTTGATATCCGAAAAATCAAATAATAAAAATTATACACCTATATTTTTATGTGTGTATGTTTAATTTTGAAATCATCTTTTTTAAAGTTTTATATTAAATTAAAAAGTGCGGGATATTCGTGAAACGGCATTTTCTTTTGATTACAATTTTCTGATTGGTTAAGAATTGATCGAAATCAATAACGCGTTTTTGAATTATATAAGCTGGGTCTCTTTATTCTCACTCTTCAAAATTAATTAAATAATATAAATAAAACATTATTAAACAAAATGAGTCACGAACTAAACGAAGATATTAATGAGGAGGAGACATGTGAAGAAGAAACTTCCTGTTATACACCAATTCAAAAACTTGAGGTTGTCAAACGCGATAATACTTTTAACGTGTACACTGTATTCTCTCCATCTTTACCTTTTATCTTAACGTGACCTTTCATTTTCCATAGGAATTTGGTATTAACGCGTCGGACATTAAAAAACTTACAGAGAGCGGTTTTCATACGGTTCAATCTGTAGCGTTTTCCCCACGAAAAGTTTTGCTAAACATTAAAGGAATTTCAGAAGCCAAAGTAGATAAAATTCAAGGAGAAGGTTCGAGATCATAATTTAAATATTCTCGATCGTTGTTTGATATTTAAAAAGATTAATGAGTTGCTTTTGATTTTCATAGCCTACAAGCTATCACCAATGGGTTTTCTCACAGCAACAGAAATCCAGGCAAAAAGACGCGATAACCTTTTTATAACGACGGGATCAAAAGAGTTGGATAAACTTCTTGGAGGTAATATTATAATTTAATTATGATTTCAGCTGATTTTTGTAAATAATTAATCTTCTTTCTTTGGACAATTTAGGTGGTATTGAAACTGGATCAATCACTGAAATATTTGGGGAGTTTAGGACTGGAAAGTCTCAAATTTGTCATACATTATCTGTAGCATGTCAGGTAAGAATTTCTTTGATCTATTATTTTTCATGATATAAAAACGAATATAATGTCATGTAATTAATTGTTATTATTATAATTATTATTTGCGAACCAAGCTTCCCATTGAATATAACGGTGCCGAGGGAAGATGCATCTATATCGACACTGAAGGTACTTTCCGTCCTGAAAGATTGGTGGCCATGGCAGAAAGATTCGGATTGGTCGGTGATGAAACTTTGGACAATGTAGCTATTGCGAGAGCTTATAATACTGATCATCAGATGAATCTTTTGGTACATGCCGCTGGCATGATGGCGGAATCGAGGTATGATTAAGGAATTTTTTATTTTATTTTATAATATAATACATTAATCCTGAATTTAAACGTTCTCACTACTTTAAAAATTAGATTTGCTTTGTTAATTGTCGATAGTGTTACAGCGTTATACAGAACAGATTTCTCTGGTCGTGGGGAACTTGCTGCGCGTCAAATGCATTTGGCCAAATTCTTGCGATATCTTCAGCGTTTAGCTGATGAGGTATTAATTTATTAATTTGAAAATCACATAATATAAATTTGTTTCTGATAATATTTTTTTTAAAAAAAAAAAAGTTCGGAATTGCTGTTGTTATAACAAATCAAGTTGTAGCCAGTGTTGACGGTGCTGCTAGCATGTTTGGTGGTGATACAAAGAAACCCATTGGAGGAAATATTATTGCCCACACTTCCACCACAAGGTAATCGATAAATTCTTTTAATTTGAACCTTACAATGCTAATCTAGTAATACTGACATTAATTTTGTCTAGGCTTTATTTGCGTAAAGGTAAGGGTGAAAATCGGATTTGTAAAATCTACGATTCTCCCTGTCTGCCTGAAGGCGATGCAGCCTTTGCTATTTC